AAACCTTAAAACACTTTAGCAATTAATATTCAGTCTTACATAAGGAAAGTGTGTATCGTGGCTTATACGAAAGTTTCAACGAAATCGATGAAACAAATTAAGAGTGTCGTTGTTCACTTAAATAATATGAAATTCAATCGTGGCAATAACCGAATTGAAAAAATATATTGCGATATACGCATCGCCGTTTTCGATATGCAATTTCGTTATTACGGATTTAAGAATAATTGTAAGTCTGTGCGTTGTCGTCCAGAGTATAGTTTTCACAGTATCGTTATCGAACAACGCGAATTATCAACGAGTAGTCGTAACGCATAAGCAAGACATAATATGTGTAACATACGAAACAAGCCTTTTGTACTGAAGATCATTTTTGAGCTTTGTAAACGCCTTTTGTCGTGTCTTACAACATACAATGTTTGTTCAACATGAAATTATTTTCATTTCTTCGTCATCAAGCATCTCTCGCTCCTCTTTCTCGACAATGTGGCTACTTCTACGCCTCCATAAGATTTTTATACTTCGAACGGTTTGTTCGCACGTACCTGATTGATTTTTGTTTTCTGTACGACCGGCACCAAAGGCTTTTTCTTCACGCCATGAAGAATGTGCGTCAATCCTATCTTTGTTTCGAGACTCTTATACGTACTGTACACCACGAACCACACGTAAGAGCTCGTGATTACGAGAAACAGAACGATTATACCTGAAAACAATAATATTCTTCAGTTACAATGAAACGTAATAACCATAATAAACCTCTTAATGACGTTTAAAGGTTTTTAAATTTAAAAGAAATAAACCGTTTGCATCCGAATTTAAATTTAAAACACTACAGAAATATTGTATTTGAAATTATTAACATCAGTATTCAACACTTTTTGTAAAAATTAACCAATAACAATATTCTATGCAAAAACTACTAACATAAATGACCTAATTTTTTTACGTGACAGTAAATTACTAATATTGTTAGTATCTATCGACGTACGTTCACAAATATTAGCTTTGCCGCCAAGGGTAGCGATAAAGGGACAATCCTGTTCTACTAAGAACAAGGAAATCGTCGACGCTGATATTATAGTCATCATGACCATCATCCATGGCGCCATGAAGTGACGATTATTCTAGCGGAATAAATTACTCTGTTTTATCACGTAAATACTCTTTTCTACGTAAAATGTCATTACCGTTAGTGCTCCATATAGGAGCAAAATAGTGGAACTAAAATGTATCACTGTGATGACTAATCCGCAATACATCGAGTATACCGTTTCTGAAACAAACGATCGTAAAAATCGTGTAAAATCGTCGTCGACAAGAATACATAAGACAATATGTATTGAAAACAGAAAGAATAGCAGACTTCATAATTTTAGTCGTAGAAAATTCTATAAGCACCGGTCGCATTGTGATGCGCCATGTCCATTTTTTTTGTATTAAGATGATTCGACGATATATCTTCCAAAGCCTCCCTCTCAAGCGCGTCTTCCGTGTCTCTTACCACCATTTCTTGAATTCCCATAGCGTGCGCCAGAGCCAACACGAAAAATATCATACTAAATCCTGATATAAACTGTTGAAAGAATAATTCTGTATAAATTTTTACTTTTTTCCTCTACGACACCGTAACAATAGCTCAACGATTATTATATTTACCAACTGAAACACAGCTATCAAGACTGTGCCTTGTTTCAAGTTGAAGTAATGCAAGAAATTTTTCAACAGACCTACTTTCATCTTGCGTTGTTTCTTAAGAGAACTGGTCACAGAAGATTATTTCTGAAATATTTGAAGATACATTATTTCTCGGTACACATCGATGGTAGTTCTATTTTGTTGTGTTTCAGGGATCATTGTAATGCAATGCAAAATTGTTGCACTGTTAGGTGACTGCAAGCCTTGTCGCAGAGATAGCGCAAAGTGTAACGTGGAGAGGAGTCGCTGCAATCGTGTTACTCGAAGTAACGATAACAACGCAACACGAAATGGGAATTGCTCGTTATCGAGAAATGCAGTCGACACCTAGCCACCGATATTCGTTTACTTTCGAATGGAAAGCGATCAATGCGTGTTGCTACTCACCTCGCGGAAAAAGGAGCAGCCGATACCGCGGAAACGTGTTTCACGCAGAGGGAATCAATAAACTTTCACTGTTTCTCGCTGGTGCGAGAACTAATAAGATGATTGTCGAGCGACTAGCCAACGCTTTGCGATCACAGGACGAAATTCCTTGTGTATTCGTTGCTTTTATTTTGTTTGCGGACCTGACTCCGGACTTTAACGCGCAAAACGCGAGTTTACTTCGTCCAGGGGGTAGGAAGGTAACCCCTAACACTAGATTGCACGACATGCGCACCAGGGCGATCCATTGCCGCATCCTTCAAGGTGTATCCGTTCCCAATTGATCATTGATTGTCACTGACAAAATATTCGTGACCGATGACGCATCGAGTGCGTTTCGCACGCTGTTTATCCAATTCGACCAATTATATATCGCATGCATCGTAGATTAATCAGAATAAAACAAATGTTCACTGTTGAATAATGTCTCGTGATCAGGCACTAGCTTTGGGTGTCACAGTTTACGCTTTTCTTGATCTTATTTCGCGAGCAAAATATTTAGTTATTTACGAATTTGATGGTTTATCAAATTATGTTATGGATTTCAAGGAGTTAGTACTGTTATTTTTTATATGTTGCTCTGTTAGTTTTATATTCTTAAGTATTGATAATAATTGAGTAACAATTTTTTTCATACTTTTACAACTTTCCCTTTGATTCATATAATTTTTTCTCTAAATACGATTTTTTTAATATCCTCGTTTCTTCCTTATTTCATCTAAGAAATAGAATTCATTTCATTACTTTTAGTTGCCTTACGATATGCTTTACCTATGTCTTTATAGCGTATTAATCCTCAAAAAGACATTTAAAAATCTTATAACAAGAATTAAGCTAAATCTTTCTTATTTACGTATATAATGTATGTTTTTATGTTTTCTCCACATTTGATGGAAAATGAAATTACATTGTGTTATTTGAACAATGGCTCTTATCTAGCGGCGTTATTGTCGTCAAGCTTTCGGATTACAGTTTAAAAGTTAGTTCGATCAAGTTGAATTGTCTTGCATGTAGTCATGGGAACGTGTCACTAACTTTCCGTGTTTGTTTGTATCGTGGCGGATAGCTGACACAAATCACAGCTTTTAACTTGCCACGTATTACAACAGTCCGATCGCAGCTGTTGAATAATGTTGACGCGTTGACGTTTCCGAAATCAGCTTTTTACACGAGAGTATAAATGGATCGAAAATATCCAAGGGTTCAGATGGGAGCGGGTACTTTTCACCATCCCCCGAAAGCAAAATACAGCGAAGAAACGAAAAACTTGATTAAACGTGAGCGAATTTTCTATCAATTATGCTACTTTTATATTTCCATCAATTATGCTATCTTTATATTTCCATCAATTATGCTATTTTTATATTTCCATAAATTATGCTACTTTTATGTTTCCATCAATTATGCTATTTTTATATTCCCATCAATTATTATGCTATTCGTTCAAATACTTTCGTACTGTACACATTTAGTTCAGAAGAAAAATTCACGTTTCGTATATCATGAAATTTGTGTGCTTTAGTTTTAATGGAAGAATCTAAGGTAACTATGTTGCGAAGAAAACTTATTCAGGACGCAGTCGATAGAGGTGAATCTTTGCCTCTTCCCGTTGAAAGATCAAATAGAGGAGTGAATAAACAGGATTTCGAATGCAAGGTGAAATTGTTTAATTGTGTACAGAACCACTATTTAACAATACAATGTAATATTATTACAATATATGATGCTTTTATTAAGGAGAATATTGTTACTGTTATTATTATCATTATTTAGGTTTTAATGCCTTCTGTTTGGAAAAAAAGGACGCAAGATGTGATTATTAAAAGTGGAGCATACGAGAGAGAACAGTACATCAGAACAGCTCCTTTGCGTAAGAATATACATTATTTCTTATTAAAAACTTAATAACTAGAATTAGACATTGATATAATTTAAAACTCATATAAGAGATTTTTAAATTATTACTGAAAGGAAAAGAAATATCTACTTCCATTAACGGAATCTAATTTGACAGGATTATATTGATAAAGTTCATAAGAATAATTCACAATGTATTTTAAAGTTGGTTTCTCTTTAAAATTAACAATATAATTATTTAAAATTATTTTAAACTGCATTTTCTACCTCCACATTATTTACTGTGTAAAATTCAGCAAACAAGGAAAAGCAGAAGCGGCAGTTGGCGTGTATCATGGCTTACGGGAAAGACATGCCGGAAACTTCTCGCGAATCGAAGGTTTTTCACAGAGTGAAAAGGGAACCATGTCCTCAGAATATTGATCCAATTGACGATTGTAAGTAAACGAAAGAAATTAATGTACTAAATTCTTACATTGAAAGCACCTTCTACTTTATTCAGTGGTTCGAGGTATACAAGAAAGAATGGAATTTTTAAGTGACATGGAATGCCTTGGAATGGGAAAGAAATATCGATCAATTATACACCAAGAGATAGCACATAAAATACGGTTAATCGAATCCATAGACAAACAAAAGTCGAAAGAAATTCGAAGAGAAATAAGAGAGCTCGGGAAACCATTGCCGAAACCACTGCCTTTAGGAGACCTGGATAACAGTTAATCATTGTTTTACGTAATATTTTGTATTACGTACATATCGAGTGTAATAAAATACTTAAACGGATCACGAGTCCTATTAAATACTTTCATAAAGTTTAGCCAAGTGTTTGCAGAATAAATATTAATACGTTGTGTGTATTGTTTTGGTACATGCCAATTTTTATAAAAAAATATTTTTTATCAAACATAAGATTTCATATAACGGTACACGTTACAAAGTACAACGTAAAGAGATGATATCAAGATCTATAAAAGTTATTATTAAATATATAAAACCTAAATATAATTTGATATTTTATTTAAGAAATAAATACACTTTATACGCAAAATTTCACCGAAATCTCCGGTGGCCAAGAAAGTGTTACAAAGCACAAGTAACAATAAAAGCCCATAGTTCATATCAGATATCGGATCTAAGGGTACGTTCATAACCGACATTCAATAAAAACAGCGACGAGAGTGTCACGGGGGAGATATCGCGTTTAATAAAATAAATCAGTATATGTTTAACAGGAGGTATTTCACTTGCGAATATATTATTTCCCTAATAAGATCAGACCGTGGAATGATCTATTGAGGAGGAGAATGACAAACCGTGACGTTCGTTAATTGACTCAGCACTTTATTAAGGTTCTGATGGTTTTTTATACACCTCGGGAGAGGGGCCTACGTGACCCTTGATGCGTCGTTCGTGTCTTGTGTGGTCTGGCAAGATGTGGCTGTCGTTTGATAAGCCTGTGTTATAGTTTCAGGTAGCCCGGCGGAATGTACTTATCGGTAGGTGTTGTTTAGACTAGGCCTGCGTCACAAGAGCGAAGCGAGGAAATGCATAGTACTTTCGTTTTAATTGAAAGCATTTACATTGAAACGACGCTTACAGTTACGTTCAACTAAATTGATCAGCGATACAAACGTTATGAATCGACGCTCTCTTCGCGTCTATCTCCGCTATAAACGTACCCTAACCTATCGAATAATCCACGCGTATATAAAACATCGTGGATACGAATTTCCCGCGTTCCCCATCGAATCGTATAGGTTAAGTGAAACGTGCGAGAGGGCGCATGCGCGGCGGGAGAAATAAGAACGGCCGGTCGAAGGAGTCGTGTTAGTTCGGTTAGTCGTCAGTTGTTCGCCGCACGGCGATAGCGTGTGTTCTCAGTGATCGTGTCGTGGTGAAAACTGTACCTTGCCGACCAGCACCGTTGAAATACTTACTCGTGTGTGTTCGTCAATCGTTCACAGAAAAAAGGGAGAAAACATTCGAAAATCAAAAAAGAGAACGTTTGCGACGGTGAACTCTTGTTCCGACAAGCATCAGGTGCAACGATCTCGCCGGATCCCGGATGATCTACAAGTGATCCAACATGGCGTCGACCGATCTGTCGTTCGGTAAATGATGAACCCGTGTACCGTACACACCTTTGACAAGGTCCCTTCGAGGTCGTCCGGTTTTTAAAAACGACTCGTGCCCCCTTTCAACGCGACCAATCACGTTGACACACGCTCACCATGCTTTTTTTCGTGTTTCCCTGAATACGTCGCGCCTAGCCTTCCGATCGTCCCTAAAAATCGAGCAAACGAATCAACGAAATTGTCACCGTTTCTTGATCGTCATGTTTTTAACTAGATATCGCATTTCACGGTTTTACGATTTGATGATTTTTTTACATTACACTTTGGAGACCTGTTCAACCTGTTGCCTTAAAGATTGTTCACGGCTGTTAGGATAGTGACAGTTAGGATCACTTCATTGTTACCGTTTTGCTCAGAGGACAATCATTTATTTCATTACCGTGGATGCTCATGAACTGTTACGAGAAAATGTTTGTTAATCCATTCGCGTGGCAGTCAGTCTGTATATTTTGTGGGCAAAATACGCTTAGACGATACAATGTAGCAATAATAAAATAATCCGTAAAGTACTTAAAGTTTGAATGGTATGACGGTATAGCATTACGGAGGAAAACGACGAATATAACGTATGAATGTTACTAATACGCGATGATGAAATACAAACGTATACCACGAGTCTGAGTTGTTATTCTGCGCGAATGGGTTAATAAATTGTTAATACATTGTTTGATTTATTCGTGTATTTGAATAGTTACGTAAATCTTATAGTTATCGATGGCTACGACAAAGTATAGTAAATGTTGCATAAAATTTTGTGGCAGTTGATACAGTTTGAATTCAATATGCATTTAGCAACTGCAACGTTAAATAAGCTTTTTATAATCATTGAGCGGGAATATACAATGGCTCCTCAAATTCAAATGAGTCGAATTAGAAAAGAGAGTTTAGGAATGTCTGATTCATGCGCTAATGAAAACGGTACTCCAAAGTATCCACAGGATATGAAAAGATAATGGGATTTCGATATCCTTGAGAGATGAAACTTGTTCTTGGAAATGCATGAATAGTATAATATCACAGACGCATTAGTAACTCGACAATAATACTTGAAATTAATATTAATTCTATTAGTTAACGTCAAGTCAGTAGTTCACTAAATTCAATTTCAATGAAATCGACATTCATTTTATTAGATCAATAGCAAGTTTTTAAACCATTAAATTCAATTCCAATGAAATTAATATTAATGCAAACTTGATCTGTTATTATAAGATAAAATATTAAATTCTTTTAAAAAGAGAAAAACCAATGATCGAGGTTTTGAACCTCAGACAGAGAAAACGAAAAACGAAATTACGGATCAGATGGCGGTACCGAAGCCGAAGCAACGAAACATCGTGGATCAC